AAAATGCTCAACAGGTAGCACATTGATTAATTTAATCTCTCCACTGTGCATGTTTAAATCCGCTAAATATGGAAAATTAATATGGAATTTTACCACTAAAGGAAAAGTTTGGTAGCTGAGCACAAAAATAAGAGGAGCATAACATCTCTGAACATCATAAACGATATTAATTTAGGAATATAAATAGATTATACAAACTGTATATGGCTGGTAGTGGTAGTTTAAATAAAAAATACACAACAATATTCCACTTTCTTCATAAACATTTTATGCATCAAAGTCTTTCACTCAGTCACTTACTGTGGTTATTTTAGAAAATTTCTGACTCATTCTCATTCTGACTATATTAAGTTTAGGAACAAGTAGGTTTATTCCATGCTGAAAGGAGAAGAAAGAAAAAACTTTTCGGCTGTGCATCGGTACTTATGGTTAAACAGTACATACAATGTCTGGTTGAGTTTCAGCGTTCACTTTTCTGTAATTTTCCAACAGAACCGTGATGTCCCATCAATGTTTGGTACCAATAAACAGGGGGAACTCCACAGACTTCCGTGTTTGAACCTAACATTGTATAATGGGGATGACATTACCCAGGTCTATATCACTCTATGAGAAAGGCTTGAGTTGGAATGTCTGTCAATAAAACAGAGCTCTCCAATATATTTAACAACTATATGATTTATTTTTCCATTTCAGCTAAATGAGGGGAATGCAAAGGCAAATAAGTCAGGATTTCAGAGATTAATAAGCGAGTGCTTTAGTCTAAAATACTTAGTGGAACAAGAATGTCGGCATCTAGACATTGTACATCAGTAAACAACAGAGTGAGTCGCTGGCTCACCTAAAGCGGTAACACGTCTGTCTTCACTGTTATGGTACAGTTTCAACATATTGATCAGCTCCGGTTACTGGCAATTGTAATAATAACCCATCTACCCTCCTTTGTATAAATTTAAAAAAGTCAGTAAAGAAAAACACAGTTTAAAATTCTAAAAACTTTAAACAGTACACAACTTAAACTCTGTAATAGAATAAAAGTTCCTCAGCATTGACTGGGACTCGAAACCAGAAATGTTCTGGTGACAACCCAAAAGCTCCACATGCCATGTCAACCTTTCAATGCTCCACCTGGTGGTTTTAAATAAAAGTGCAGCCACATAACATCTTCAAATAAACTATTTTAAAAAAATGTTGTAAATTGTGGTAACTGTGAATTACTGCGATATCTCCTGCGGATGTTGAATGGCTGGATCTGTAGGTTAGGGTTTAGCTCTTCTTCAATGAGTTTGCACAACAATCCACTCATTTGATTGGAAAATTTACTTCACTGACTTTTTTTGAAAAGGCTAAGCAACCTCGCCAAAACAAAGACAAAATATGTTGGCGTTAGAGTCAGAAACACCTAGAAAATCTTGTCCTTATTTGTTAATATGCGTGACTATACCATACCTATTGCAATATTTTGAAAAGATTGATCAGTTTCTTTCCGACTTTTGCTTGTAGGACAATTTAGACAATATCCCTTTTGGGGCAATGCACTGTACAGTATATAATAATAAACTTTATTTTATATAGCATATACAGTATAGGCAAACATGTTGCAATATGGAAAACTGAACAAAACATGTATGTGAAATTTAGCTTCTGAAACAAGCATGTCTTTAAGGCTCTTTGATGGACAAAAATACAGTTCAGCACCAGATTCCTGGTCTGAATAATGCAGCAGTCTTGTTTTACCAAAGCCTACAAAGTAGAAAAAAATGTCATGTCTGGTATCAGAAATTAAACAGCAAACACCCCTAGGAATAATTGAGCTGCAAAATGAAGCAATTTCTTATGTTGTTAAATTACGCACATTTAATTTAACATGCTGAGTGAAGCTTTATTCTTCTCAGGTTTGACACTTCTTCCTGCAAGCAAGATTTGACATTTAACCTCAAAACCTTAGCCATCTTGAGATCTGAAAAAAAACTTACAAACCTCACCTTCAAAATTCCCCAGTTTTAGTACCTTGTTGTCCATTCAGATAACAGCTTTAATTAAGAAGAAAAAACTTCTAATGTATGATGGCATTTCATGACCCTACAACTTTGTTATTAACTTCATTGACTTCTGCTCATTTTCACAAATAACAATAACACCAATCTTTGTAGGATACCAAGTAATTACACAATTTTTGTCCAGATCATTTTAATTTTCTCTACCCACACATATAAATTACTTTAATATTATATATGGAACAACTTATAATACTAAACTAAACCTGGTGAAAGTATTACCAACTATCCAATACAGAGTCACAGGGCAGCTGGAGCCTATCCCGACAAGCAACAGGTACAGGGTGGGATACAGCCACGCATAGACATGCACACATTCACACTAGTGCCAGTTTTTCCAGAAGCCACTTAACCTACCAGTATGTCTTTGGACTGAAAGAGGAAACTGCAGCAACCGGAGGAAACCCATGCAAACATGGTGTGAACATACAAACTCGATGCAGATTGAAGTGGCACGAATGCTAACAATTGAGCCACCAGGAAGCTAGCTAGCTTGCAGCATCTAATCCTGACTACCAGCTACAGTACAGTACGTCACAAAACAAATGACAGCACTATTAAAACATCAAAGTCTGCTAATATTAAGAAATATGCGCTCTAGAGAAACGCTTGTCACTAACTCATTTGCTTTTTATTTTAAAAAGAAAATAAACCAGTAACATAACAACTGACCAAAGCAGACCTGAAAAGAATAAAAATGCATGAAAATAAGAGCATTCCATATTAATTACCCTTCTTATACAAAGGTGGTGGGTAGAATTTAAATAGTTCCTGATAATACAATAAGAAACTAAAGTGGAAAATGTGTTTTATAGACAAAACCATCTATAAAATTAACAGGTTTTATAGCCAGAAGCTACACTACCCTGCAGTTCACAGCGGGCATCCCACTGAAGCTAAGCAGGTGTGGCCAGTACCTGGATGGGAGACCTCCTGGGGAAGCTGCTGGAAGAGGTGTTAGTGGAGCCATTAGGGAGCACTTAATCTGCATTCTATGTGGGTCTTAATGCCCCAGTATAATGATAGGTACACTGTACTGATAAAAAGACCTTAACATAAAACCTGACCTTGACATAAAACCTCTGACCTTTCTGTGTTCATTCAAAATCCCAGGGCGTTTCTAGAAAACAGTATGGGTGTTACCCCAGTGTCTGGACCAAATCTCCCATGCATACAATTCAATGAGAACTACTTTATTAAATGTTAACTAAATGTCCTATATAGGCCATTGACTACTTTTCGGACATAACGTTTATGTTGTCAACTGTAGTAAGTTATGAAATACGATAACCCACGGTACTTGTATTTGTTTGGTCAGTATAAGATGGTATATGTTTAGTATAAGATTTCACAAATTGTAAAGGGATACCTGGAAAGCTCAACCAATTACACATGCTTGCTTAGATTATGAGTTCTACTATCTAGACAAGAATAGTTTGACCCTGGGCTAGCAGACTGTGGCAAGGATTGCACAAACAGTTTACAATTGCCGACAGAATGAGGTGTGCTGGAGTTGACCAGGGTGTAAGTCATCTCTACACACAACAGCATCTTCTGGGACTTACAGTACCAGGAAGCATGTGAATAAGTAGTGTTGTCAGTGAGAGATATATGACCTGTCCCATCACTAGATATTCCAAACATCTTATTAGGTACAGTACTTTAGAGCTTATAGCATGTACAATAGCAAGTGACTTGACAGCAGGTATGTCAGAGTGTTCACAAAATTGGTTTCCAAATATTGGATTGACCAATAAGAGGAGATTCCAAACAGGGAGCAGATGGAAAGGAAAATAAATGGTGGTCCTGAACACAGAATATGGAGATAACTTGCCCGACAGATGAGCTAAGAAAAAAATGATGTTGCTATCAGCAGAGCTTTCAGTCATGACAACTGCAAAAACATCTCTAGAAATGAACTGACTTTGCCCATTTAAATGCAATGGAAAATGATGTCCCCCCTTCCATTTAAAAAAAATACTGCAAGTATTGGTCTGCATACTGGCTTGATCTTTTTGCAAATGGATTTTCTTCATTCTGGCTTTAATACAGTCAACATTTAAAGGACAGAACCAAAAAGACAAGCTCAAGAGTCTGATGTTGCTGGAACTGAGATGCAGATCTACCATTTACTAATGCACAAATAAAAACAGACTTGAAACAAAGTGCTTAAAATTGTCAGATTTTAAAATAAACTACATACAATTGTTGAAACTGATATAACAGTTATCAACATGTTGTTGCAATACAAGTCCAGCTGTATTCCCTATTAGTCAAGTTAAAAATGGGTGTCAAAGGTTATCTGTTTTTGTTTTGCCTTTTAAGTTTGACAAATTGACACTCCTAAAGGAACCAAAGGGGATCTCTGGCAATCCTAGAAAACATTATCATACAGTGAAAAATGCAATATTTTTTAGCAAAGTGGTCCTGTATTTTTCATGGATATAGAGTGAATGTATGATTATGTTTCACATGGTTGCTGTTTTTATATTGCTTTCATTATTACAGTTAAATTTATGTCAAAAGAAAGTCTTGAATTAAGCTGAACCAAAGTTTTCTACTGGAAAATTTGGTCAGTGCTTGCTACCACATAACATTTGTTTTGGCTTGAGATGGTGCAAAGATATTAGTGTATTCTATTTGTCAAAGTAATAATAAAAAATTCAATTCATGTTTTCACATTGACCAGCTGATGCTCACATAAGAAAAAGAGTAACTAGCTTGTATGAGATAATGACAAATGGTTTTCCACTCTACAATTTTACTTTTTGTGCTGCTATAGATTGTTTTGAATTGAAATTACTTTCTATCCAAACATATATTTAGGTGTGAAAATTAATCACACAGGTTATTAACACACCAAAATCAAAAATGCAAGTATAATATCTGTGAATTATCTTTCTCAAATGATTAGTTTTTATAAGTAGCAGCAAAAGATATTACCTGACTCAGAAATGCTGGAGCTTTGCTCTGACAGAAGCAGCAGGAAATCCTGACAAGTTTTGGGTTCCAGGCCTGGGTTTTTCTTCTGACACAGGTCAACAATCAGACCAACCGCCCTCTGGCAAATTATGTCATGATCCTGCCTGGATCCACTCATTTCCCAAAAGGCATCCTTTTTTCTCTCTGGACAATGAAGTGTTTTACTTCATGTAAAGAGTAAGTAAGCACACACACCAAAACAAAAACCTCAAAAACAGTAGTTTCTGTTTGTCTTCTTTTCTTCTCAAAAGCACACTTCTGGAGATGGGTATGCTGAACTGTCTATGCTCTGACTCTGCCTGAGATGGAACACAAAAAAGATCAAATCAAAAATGTTTTTCTTTAAATAGCTCTCTGTGCAACTAGTACTGTAGGGCTATTTCTCTACAAGCCACTGTATGCAGCAGTGAACAGTCTCATTAGTGCATGTCGTTTGCTTTGCTTATCTGTGCTATTCCCAAAGTGGAGTTCTCCCCTGAACACGAGCACTCAGAGTCTCTTCTCATTCCCCGATTGCCTCCGAGATCAGTTCTGTGTTTACTGGCAAGGAGGGGTCCCTTTTAACAGCACCTCCCACTAAATTCAATTGTGTTATCCTCTGTATGGCCCTATTCAAAGTGCTTTATACAGCACTCCAACTGAACCTTTCCCCTGCACATAAAGCAGGTTAACTGCAAATCAGAAAGAGCTGGCTGAGAGTGCCTGCAACTACCAGCTGTGCTCAGATGCAGAGGCATGCCATCAATAGTGAAGCTAAGCCTCTAAACTGGTTATTTGCTAAATGCAAGGTTTGCAGGGCCTGAGGAAACTACAATAAATAGTATCATCACAATCTGTGAGTGGCAGAAATGGAGGTATTATGATTTCAAATCAAAAACTGGAAGCTTTTCAGTAATAAAGAATCAAAAAGCAAAAAAAAAGTAGTCAAGGGCAAAATTGAAAGTACCTGAAAAAGAACCCAAGTGTTATAAGGGCTGCAGCCCAATAGTGGATGCAGGGGGTTAAAAGCTCAACAAACACCTGAACTACTGACCTTAACTTTTGTAGTGGGTGAAATATTACCAATTTGTACAGAAAAACAGTGAATTCAAAAGTAAAATACAAAGTTATACAGTAACCAAACAGACCAAGCCAAATAAACGTAAAAAGTGCAGAAATGTTTTATCTCATATATAGTAATTATTGCTTGTTTTCTGCAAGATTAATATTTTACAGTCATCTGACTCTGACAGTTAGTTCCACCTCTAGAACTTTCTTCCTTCCCTACATGTTTAGTATAATAATGATATAAGTAGCTCATATCTACATAAATATGATATGATATAACTAGCAAACAATTTACACTATAAACAGTTTTATTCACTCATTTCAGTAAGGTAGACCTGCTGATGAAACTGGTTTTTATGACAAAACCAAACAGATTGAGATTGTAGGGATAGTTCTTCCTCAAGATTTCAGGGCCTAACTAACTAGTGGTCCAGTAAAAATCAAACCTTGAATTTGATCCCTTTGTTTCTTTTTCAGTTCTATGGGGATTGAGGAAGCTTTGAAACCCTCACATAAGTACTTTGAATAAAAGTATTCACAGTGTTACTACCTGTGAGGACATAGATTATAATGGTCAACTCCATTCTGAATTGCCTTTTGTTTGGTTACTTTAACCTAATGTATCTGCTGTATATACAGCACTGCTTTTAGACTTGGTAGTTGCTCTTAAAATCTTTTTGAGGCAGTGACGTTCTTTTTTACAGTAGGACAAACAAAATTATACAGAGTATTGTAAGCTAAAAAGTATAAATGTGCCAATATAAACAATAAGTAATTAATGGATTATTTGAAAAGGCAATTTGAAAATACCTAGTGTAACAGGATTTGCGGTGGTTTGTGTTCAGGATGAGCACTGGGATAATTTTCTTGACAATATACTGTATACAGCAGCAATTATGTCATCACACACACCCCAGTTGTTAACTGGGAAAATACAGTTAAGGATTCAGCCTTGGGTTACAGTTGAGGATTCAGTCTGGTGGCGTAATGAGTTAAAATGCTGCTTGAGCTTCTTAAACCACAGAGGAGCTAAAAAATGTGAAGTAAGCCGTTAGCCAGCTCAGCCTCCCCAAACACTCACCCTGGCAATATCAATGCACACTGCTCAGTATTTGACTTGCAAATGTGTTTAAATGTAATTATAGTTTCACTTGGAAAAAAGAAAAAAACAGACATATAATCTATTTGAAAAGTAACGAGTTCTCATGGGGAACAAATAGTAAATTTTGAAGCTCTCAGTGGACTGTGATATCTTTGGATGAGGGAAATAAATGCTGCCAGCCTCTCTTCTTTTTTATTAATGCGTTTCCAAGAAAACAGACAGAGAAAGAAGCCCTGGAGATCAACCAAGAGAGGCAGAGCTAGAAGCATTATCAGCATGTAGCCTGATCTTGTTAGATCTCACAATCTAAGGAAGGCTGAGCCTGGTCAGTACTGGGAGAATCAAAGGAACACAAGATTGCTAGATAGCTAGATAGTGGAGTTGGTGGACCAGTGGGAGGTGCTCTTCCCTCTACTATAATGTCTCTTCTGAAGAATGGAACACCCTATACCACAGTACTACTACATACATACTACATACTAATCCCCTAACACACATTTACAGTGGGATCATTGCATCCCCAAGAGGTCTCATATCCCAGTACTGACCTAGCCCAGCCTTGTTTTACTTCTGATCCATTGAGGTCAGGCCGGTCATGGACCTCACTCCAGGTTAGGGTAAAATGACCTTACTCACAGTATCCCGTGAGATCTGCTTTTTACCACAATGTGCCCACAACATCTTGGAGTCCTACAATGTGAAATTTGATGATTGATCTTAACTACTGATTAATTACTGTAACTATTTTTTATATTAATTCTAAAACTATATTGATTTCATTTAGTTACAGCTGTGTTGACATAACGTTTTACCATTTAAACAAGAGGGTAGGAAATCATCATTGAACAAGCCACACTGTCAGAAAATAGGTAATTTCCCAGATCTGATGCATCACATTTGGGTTTTGGTGAGTTATGTGAGAATGTGTTTTAAAATGCTAAGAGTCTGCAGGTATGGAATAGGTAAACAAGTTAAAATAAATCAATTAACCCCTTTTTATTAAAAAACAGTGTTTCATTAGGGCATTTAATACGAAGAAATAGTATACAGTAATCATGGAAAGTTAGTCAAGCCATTTCAGCAGTGTAAGAAAATGGGACCTGCAGGTAATATTTAATTTTTTCTGAGCTTGTCTTGTTCACAAGCTTTCTCCAATCAACTGACTTATTTAAAATGTGTCTCAGATTTTTTTATAAACTGATATGTTTAATGGAAAAGGGACTGAAATTTCTATTCAAGTCAATTTGACCTTTGAAATGTAAATCCATATATAATACAGTACCAGTCAAAAGTTTGAGTACAACTCCTTGCAAAAATAGGAAAAAGAAAAGGAGATTCGTATGCTGTGCAGTATTTAAACAATGAATCACTTGTGTCAGAATATTTAGCACAAATCTGTTCTGCAGCCATTTTAAAAGAGATTTCATGTCCTTTCATGATGACAGTTTAGGGCTTCTACTTAGCGCATCTTGGATACATTTTACTGAATTGCCTTTTTCTTCAAGTCACAATACTTTTACTCAAGCAGGACATTCAAATACATTTACATGTTTTGCCTCCTTTTGATTCATATATAAATAGTCATGCTTGCATAGGTCGCATCTGCCCTAAAATAAATCCAATGCACAATAAACCTAAAACTACCTCCACTACACCAGGATTATTCCCAGATCTTTTCATTTACTGTATGTCTGCTGTTTTGGATGAACATGTAGTACCCACAGTGTGTCATACAAAACAACCACAGAGGTTCTGCTTCTGACCCTTTACACTCATCCTGCAGATCAGGAAAACTTGATCCCCTCAGAAGCCCATCTAAAAAGTTGGACAAGAAATCATTCCGAGCCTTCTTTGTCACTATGAAATACAGTACAATATGGCTTCTGCTTCTATCCGCATAGCTAACATCTAAATCCACTTCTGACCCAATCCCTTTCTATACCACACTTCCCTAGAATATATGATAATTCCCCTCACCTTTTTCAATCCACCCTTTTTTCAGGCTGATTGACTAATTCCTCAAAATCTTTAAGATTGTGCAGGTCAGCTGGCTAGGCCTCAAAATCACAGGCTTTATTTGACAAGCTGACGCTGTTTGCAGACATCTTTTCTGGATGTCTAGGAAAGCCCGGATTCTGCAAACGAGACACTGGCAATGACCTCATGTTTATATTTATGAGTCTAATACTATATGCTCCCTACTCTGTGCTGCAGTATTGGAATCAAAAGTATGAACATGGGAATGAAGCATTAACACATTCTCTCCTTGTATTGAAATACATCCAAGGTAAAGGAAGCCATACAGAAGCATCAGTATTCAGCACAGCACTAAAGTATGGCTTATGCACTCAGGCTCTGGGTTTAGACTGCAGATTCAGGCACACCTCCAAAGGGCTGATCCCAAAGCACAAATAAGGTGCAAAACCTGCTGTACAAGAAGATTTGTCCCCTGAGAAGACACCTGGGAAACATCACCATGACAGCCTCTCTATCAATGCCATTATATAAACGAACGGTTTTAGTGCTGATTTTTTCAGTCCCATTCCATGTTCAAAGTGTTTATTAATTAGTAATTAGCCCACTGAGGCAAGGTAGTCCAGTACTGTAAAGTGTTTATTGCAGGTCCCGTTTAAAATACGATTAGGTAAAGTAAGATTTTTAACCAGGAGGCAAAGTGGCACACTGCCCATTAGCATTCCTGTCTAGCAGCAACAGGGTCCTTGGTTCAATTCCTGCTGTGCTATCTGAATGCAGTTTGTATGTTCTCCCTGTGTTTGCATGGGTTTCCACCCACTGTCCAAAGACATATTGATAGGTTAATTGGCTTCTGTGAAAATTCACCCTGGTGGGAGTATGTGTGTGTTTGTGTCTTTGTGTACGTTTAACAGATGTCCCTTCTAGGTTGTAATATTTTAGCCTGTTTGCATCTCCCTTCATTTCAAAGAGACTAAAAAATAAGTTCCCATTATAAGCAGGTCCTTAGTAGCAGTTGCTGAGGCCCAATGCGCCTGCTAATCTCTGGGGAAAAAAAGCACCAGCTACTGTAAGTGACTAATCGAAATCCCTGTGCCGCCAATTCAGCATGTCGACGCAAAGCTTAATCACGAGATAAATACGAATGATAGTACAATTTCATTTATTTGTAATCCCATGCATACATATGATCATATTAGAACAGACGCTTTAGACACTCTTAGATGGGCCAAATATTTCACATGCTGAAGAAACAATTAAAATCAGAATGCCCAAAGTTGGCTTCAGCAAAGCAAATTTCAGACCTAGTTATTCCTTCAAAAGGACATGTAACCAAATAATTACTTCAAGACTCAAATGTACAGAAAGTGAATGTGTCCCAATACCTTTTGAAATCACTGGACTGAACATAAAGCATGTTTTTAT